AATCCAAAACCTAGGTATGTGCCCTGACCGGGAATTGAACCCTCAACCTTTTGGAGTACGGGACGATGCTCTAACTGAGCCACCCAGCCAGGGCTGATGTTCAATTTTAACAATTGATATAGATGCCCTGTCAAAATAGTTTGGGGGAAGCAAGACTTGAGTGGACACCTGTATACTCATGTTCATTGCAGCATTATTTGCAACTGCCAGAAGGCAGAAACAACCCAAGAGTCCATCAACACGCACATGGGTCTTTAAAATGTGGTATATTCATTCAATGGAATATTATTCAACCATTACAAGGAATGAACCTGGCCCTGGCAGCTGGGGTTCAGTTGGTTGGTGTGTCGACCCATATACCAGAGGGTGGTGGGTTCGATTCCTTGTCAGGCTTACATACCCAGGTTGTGGTTCAATTCCCAGGTTGGGGCATGTGATGGAGAAACCAATCGATGTTTCTCTCTCTCTCTCTCTCTCCCTTCCTCTTTCTCTAACATCAATATAAACATATCCTCGGGTGAGGATTACAAAGGAATGAAGTTCTGCCCAGGCCGGTTTGGCTCAGCAGTTAGAGTGTTGGCCTGCGGACCAAAGAGACCCAGGTTAGATTCCAGCCAAGGGCATGTACCTTGTCTGCAGTTTGTCCTTGCCCCTGTTGCAGTCATGTGGGAGGCAACCAATCGATGTGTCTCTCTCACATCGATCTTTCTCTCTTTATCTCTCTTCCTCCCTCCCCTCTATCTGAAGATAAATGGAAAAATATCCTCTGGTGAGGATTTAAAAAATGCAGACTCCTGGGCCCCACCCTCATAGTCCGATTCTGGGTCCTAGGAAGTTGAAAAAAATAATAGTAATAATAAACAAGTGAATGAAGTTCTGATACATGCTACAATGCAGATGAACCTTGAAAACATTACGCAGAGTGAATTAAGCAAGACACAAAAGGACAAATACTGTATTCCACTTACAATATATGAATAGCTAGAATGAGTAAGTAAATTCATAAACAGAACGTGGATTAGAGGTTGGCAGGGACTGACGAGAGGGAGGAACAGGGAGTGTTATGGGTTGAATTGCAAGCCCTCCGCCCCCAGAAAGCTATACATGAGGACGTTTGTATGTGATTAATAGCTCAGATTTCACTAAGTGACCGGAGGGAGGAAGAGGAAGAGATCCTATCTGGGGGTGAAGGATCAGTCCTCACCTGAGCCCCTCCCACCCATCAGGTAGGATGGTGCTGAAGGGAAGTCTGTGGAAGCCTTAAGCAAGTTGCTTGACCTCTCTGTGCTTCTGTTGGTTTCCTCCTCTGTGAAATCAGGGAAACAGGGGTATTTAATAGTACTTGATATTTAATATTGTGACTATTAAACTGGTGAATTCACGTAAAGCGCTGTGAACTGCCACATAGTGAGCACCGTCTAAGGGTTGGGACAGCAGATTCACAGCCACAGACATACCCTGCGACGCTCACTGGCCGTGGGTGGGCTTATGGGAGAAGGTGTTAGCAGGAGTTAACATTTCCTGGGAGCCCATGATGTTGTACCAGATGCTCACTCAGTTGTCCCCCAACCGACAGGTGGGAACTAGCCTCCCAGATTTACACGGAACTGGAAGCTCAGTGTTCAAATGATTTGCCCAGAATCACATAGCTACGTGGCAGTGACTGAGCCGGGATGCAAACTGGCTCAACAGGACACCAAACCAAGCCCCCCTTTCCACTATCCTCTGCCAAGCGTCTGGTGAGACAGAGGAGGGGTGCAGAGGCTCTGTCTCCATCTTCAGCAGCCAGCTGGGAGGTGGGGATACATGAAGAAGAACAGCACCAAAGGCTGCACTGGCCTCCAAAAACATGGTGCAAGTCCCAGGCCACCCACTACTAGTTGTGGGGCCATGGCAAGTCACTTCACTGTGCCTCAGTTTCCTCATCTGCAAAATGGGGATAATAACTGTATGGGCATTAAAGGAAGCAACAAATCTAGGAATATCTAGCAAGGGGTTGGCTCGTAGAGCACAGCCAACTCCTGGTTACTAAATGTGACACCACGGTTGTATCTCCCATCACCGGAAGTAGAAGAGAGGGATAGAATCAGGCCTGGGGCTCAGAGCTCCCCTCACCCCATCATGTCATTTCCTTCAGGAAAGGGGTATCAGAGCCCCATCCCCCACTCAGTGCCTATCAGCGAGGGAGTCGTGAGGGAGTTGGAGGTTCTCAGTCTCTACCCAGCTACACACAAACACCCCCCAAACACACACACACTATGCACAAACACACCCCCTTCCGCACAGCCCTCTGCAGGAAGGTTGCTCCACAGTGTGCTGTCCGACATTCTCTGGGGCAAGGAGGAGACCACAGCTGTGGTCCAGCTGCAGAACCCAGCCCAGCCGACTGGCCCCATGCCAGAGACACGAAGCCAGGAAGAGCTGTACATGCCGGCTGGACGCTGGGGCAGGGTGGACGCCAGGGGCTGGAGCCAGGCCAGGCCTGCAGTGCATTGTGTGGAAGGGACTGTATAGGAGTGCTGTGCAGGGTCACTGTCACCCTTGGTTGTCTGGAGGAGTCTGGGGGTGGGGATGAGGTAAGAGCACTGGGGTGGTAGTCTGGAAACCTGGGGTTTAGTAGGATGTTGCCACTAGCTCACTGTGTGACTTGTATTAGCCCCCTCCCCTCTCTGGCCTCTTGTTTTCCCATGTGTGAACTTGGGAATACTTATTGGGCTCTTTGTGGCAGATACAATTCTAGGGAATACACTAGCAGGCAAGACCAAGTCCCCTCTCTCCTGGAGCTTTCATTCTACCAATAAACAAGCAAATAGCAAAAGTCGTGAAAAGGTCTATGAAAAATAACCAAGTGGTGGGAAGGGACAGAGAGTGAGGGGTCTGGATGGCCTCTCTGAGAATGTAACATAAGCAGAGGAAATAAGGAAAGGAGGAAGGGACCCATGTGAATATCTAGGGGAAGCACATGCTGGGCAGGGGGAAGAGCAAGTGCAAAGGCCCTGAGGCAAGCACGTGAGGCAAATTGAAAAAACAAACTCAGGAAGCAGCAGGGCTGGACGGAAATAAATGAGGGAGATAAAAGCCAGGGCAGATAGAGCCCAGCTCATGGAATATGAAGGCCATTGCAAGGACTTTGCATTTTATTCTGAACTGAATACTGGACCCCAGGACAGCTAGGCCAGACCTGGTACAGAGCCCACCTAGTGTTATGTGTGTGTGGTGGATGGCAACTTTAATCTCTGCTCATTCACCCTGGGGTCCTAGCCAGGTACTCCAGGCAGAGAGTCGCAGGCCAGGGACTAGGCTGAGGTGTGTAAGGCTTAGAGTGAGTGAGGCACTTAGCTCAGGTGTAATTAATTTTTAAGGGGGCATCACAAAAGTCAATCATTAAGATAAACAGTACTTTCCTGTAATATATCTAAAAATAAAAATTAAGCCCTGGCCGGTTTGGCCCAGTGGTTGGAGCATCGGCTTGCAGACCAGAGAGTCCTGGGTTCGGTTCCTGCTAGGGTCACATACCACCAAAATAATAATAATAATAATAATAATAAATATAAAATAAAAATTAATACCAAAAAAAAACCCATGTTGAATAAAATGCCAACATTTTATTTTTTTATTTTATTTTTTTATCCTCACCCGAGGACATTTTTCCATTTTTTGTTCAGGTAGAGTGGGAGGGAGAGAGAGGAACAGAGAGAGAGAAAGAAACATCGATGTGAAAGGAACACATCGAGTGGCTGCCACCCACATAACCCAGCCAGGGCCGGGGACAAACTGCAACCGAGGTACGTGCCCTTAGCAGGAACCGAACCCGGGTCTCTCAGGACAGCAGACCGACGCTCTAACTGCTGAGCCAAACCGGCCAGGGCAAATGCCAACATTTTAAATAAAGACAGGGTTGTCCTGGCCGGTTTGGCTCAGCGGTTGAGCATCGGCCTGTGGACCAGAGAGACCCGGGTTCGGTTCCTGCTAGGGTCACATACCACCAAAAATAAATAAATAAATAAATAAATAAATAAATAAATAAATAAATAAATAAAGGCAGGGTCTAACCCTGAACTTGCATGATCCTATTTCATTCACCTCATCCTAATCTCCACCCTGGTTCCAAGAAAACTTCATTTAAAAAAATAGGCAGCAGACTGGCAGGGCTGCACTTTGCTGATGTGCAATTTGTTTGTTTATTTTGGATTACAATATTACGTATTTGGCACCCTCTTAGATTTTGCACCCCGGATGAGTGCCCCGCTGACCTCATTTATCAAGGACCTTAGTCCTAGTGCTGGATAGCAATGAAATGCCTGGGTTCCACATTGAAGGTCCCATGTTCATCCCTCCTGAGGCTCAGAGGGGTGAAGGGACCCCCCAAGAACTGGTATCTGAACTGGAGACCCATGTCCACCACCTGGCCATCACACCCTACCATTCTGTCCTGGAATGTTGCTTTTAACCAATGTTGATTTAAATGTTATTCCAATGTAATCTCCACACACAAAAAGCACATGTAGTTTAAATGTTCGACTTGCTGAATTTTCACACACTGAGCTCGCTTGTATAACCAGCATGTGGGATTAAATGTAAAGCATATTTTACATTTCTAACAAACCAGACATATTAGTTTGTACTGGGCCAGATTCAGAGGACTTTGGGCTCCAGCAAGCGACTTCCCACTGCAAGGCTGGGGAACTGGGTTGATCCAGAGTTTAGGGTGCCTGGCTAGAGACTGAGAAGGGGGCGGGGTGTAGCTCCAGTCTGTGGTTGGGGAGGGGGCAGAGAGACCCGGTGGGGGCTGTCCGGGAGACAATGTCCACCTCCTTACCCCTCAACTCCACTCTTGGAGGCGTGTGAGGCCCAGCCCCCGGGCCCAGGTAAGCCGGTAAGAATGCAGCAGCGGCCAAGCCCCAGCGCGGGCGCGTCCCAGTGACTCAGACCTTGCCAGGAAGGGGGAGTCCACCCCGATCTCCAGAGCTCCCACACGGCAGCTTGATCTTGACCGGAGCTGGCTCCCGGGCCGCCAGGCTAAGCCCCTGCAGCAGGCAGCCCGGCCCCGGGAGCTGGACCCTCTCCTCCCAGCCTGGGACCCCTCTTCGGGCCGCAGCCACCTGGGCTCATCGCGGGAACGCGGGCCCGGGTGGCAAAAGCGCGGCGGGCGCGGTGGGTGCCACAGCGATCTTGGCCGAGACGGCGCCGCGAGGACCTTCGAGCGCCGTACGTAGCGACCGCGCGGGCTGGGGGAGTCCCTCACTCGGCCCCCTGCGTCTCTGCCCCAGGCTTCCGTGGGACAGGGAGGACTGGTCTGGCGCCGCCGCCGCCTCTCTAATTGCTCACTGGCCATCGTGGTGGGGAGCCCAGACGCGGCTCCTAGGCGGCCGGGTCTAGCGTGGCCGAGACGCTCTCCCCAGCGGGCGGCCCCACCGGAGGATCATCCCACCCGCCCGCCCAGCCCCACCCGGCGGGCCGCAGGCTCCGTGCCCTCCCCCATTCTCGGGGACGTGGTCTTAGGGTCACATTGAGGGTCCTTGAACCCCCTTGGGCTGCCTGGCGGTGGCTTCCTTCCTACCCCCACGGCCCCAAGGAAGGACCCAGCACACAATTCCAGATGTGCCACCCAGCTGTCCCCGCCTGGCAGGGGCCCTTCTCTCCCCTTTCCCCTGAGCACCCACAATTTGGAAGGCCTCAGATTCCAGTTCGGAGCTAAAAGAAAAGTTGAACTAGGCGTTCTCTTCGCCTCCAAAGTCGGTTTTCTGACATAAATTCCCACGCACAGCTGGCAGGAGTTGGGGGGATTAGGGATGCTCAGAGCTGCTGGAGGACCCGAGAAGATAGCTAGTCAGTAACAGGATTTCCCGGGCACGACCTCTGTGTGGTGGGCACGACCTCTGTGAGTCCCTGACCCTGGGCGCCTGGCGTAGGACACGGAGCGGGGGACAGAGGGGTTGGGCAAAGGGCGCCTGAGGAACTGGATCACTCCCATCTTTGGGACAAGGAGATTTGGTGGCCACAATTATGCAAACGATTAGCCCGAAGCGGTTGTAGTCACTGTGCTTTCTCTCTTGTTCTCGTGACTTTCCGCAAACTTTTGCAGAGTTTAGGACTGGAGAAGAGAATGCACAGCCCCTCTGCAGCGCCTCGGGGCGCTGGGGGGGGGGGGGGGGCGGAGATTTGGGGAGACTGGGGCCCAGCTCTGCCAGCACGGAAGAGACGCGCGGAGCGAGCTTCCTGTGGGGGCTCGGGCCACGGCGCCCCGCGCACAGGCGTGTCCGGCCCAGGCAGCGCCGAGCCCCGCGCGGGGGAAGGGACGCGGCGGTGGTGGGGGGCGGGCTGGGAGCGACGGGGACGACGAGGAGGGGGCGGGGAGAGGGTGGGCCGGGGAGGAAGGGCGGCGCGTAGCGAGCAGGGAAGGAGGGAGGGGGCTGGAGGGAGAAAAGGAAGAAGGAAGGGGGCGCACGGCGCGAGCTGGCGCCGAAATGAGAGAATGGCGTGAGTGAGAGAGGGGAGGGGGCGCGGGGCGGGCACCGGGGAGCTGCGTGGCCCCTCCGCGGGGGCGCCCTGGGCAGGCGCGCATGGCAGGCCCCGCACCGTGATCCCGGAGGGGCGAGAGAGGAGCACGAAGCTTGCGCGAGTAAGTTAGTCGGTGGCCGAGCTGGAACGGGGGGAGGCGCGCGCCTGCATCTGGATCACCCCCTGCCAGTCCCCTTTTCCGCGCACCCGCGGGGTAAGGTCTACCCCACCCGCTGAGCCCTATTTTCCGCAGGTCCCGGGCCGATGTCCCAGGTGAGTGGCCAGCACCCTCCTCATTGCGACGCGCCTCATGAAGCCCCCAGCGCAGCCCCCGGCCCAGGTACAACCAGAGGTGGAGAGGGAAGCTGGACGGGAGCGGGGTAGGCGGCTCCGGGGTGGGGGTGTGTTAATTCTACCCCTCCGACTCCCTGAGACACGAGGAGACGGTTTCGGGGAGCTTGGTGGAGGTGGGGGCGCGGGGTCTGGCTCTTCGGGACCGGGTCCAAAGAGAGTGGAGCTCTGGGGTGATGGGGGCAGGGCCCCAACGCAGGCGGTGGCTGTGCCAAGTTGGCTCTGACTCCCCTCACTCCCAACACCAGACACACACACACACACACACACACACACACACGCAGGCTGTCTGTCCGTCTGGGATTTGTGTCCCAACCGTTTCTGCCCAGTGTGTAAATATTTATGGGGACCTCAGGCAGAGGTGGGGGTGTCTGAATCTTTCTTCCCTTCCCTTCCCCCAACGCAGCAAGAGCCCAGGGCTTCCCGAAAACTTTTGTCCAACTAAAGCGGCCATAGGACCCGGCCCCTCCCCTTCTTGCCATCTGTCTTGCTCGCCTTCCTCCCCACCGGGGCCTGGCCAGTCCCTACTGCTCCTACCCCAGCACACAGACACACACACACACACACACACACACACACACAGCACACACACATCGCTTCTCCTAACTCACACAATCTGTAACCTCCCCAGGATCCTGTAGGAGCTTCCCCCCCACTCCCTGGGTGACTCCCTGAGGATGGGCGCCCTGAGGGATGTGGCTCTCAGGCCCCCTCACTGCAGATGTGCCTGGAGGTTCATTGTGCAACACAGGGAACACAGGGTCAGGAGAAGTCAGGCACTTTGGGGATTTGTTCAGAGGGCTGGGGTGCAGAAAAATAGGCCCAGCTTTTCTGACTTTAATCCCAGTTCTAGGTGCCTTTTTCTCACCCCTCCCCACCCCCCACTTCCCCATCTTTGAGCTTCTGAGCAACGATGGTCTGGTCCTGGGCTCTGACACGAACTCCCTGCACGGCCTTGGACAAGTGCTGTCCTGTCTCTGGCCTCAGTCTTCACATCCACCCATAGGGGCTTGTCTGCCTGTTGGGAGAGGCCCGTCTCAGTTCCCGGTCTACCTAGTGAGGATGACGGCACTCTGGACACCTGGACTCTGGAGGTGGTGGTGGTGGGTCTCCTGGAGCAGAGAACAAGTGGAGGATGTCTGGTCAGGGGCCAGCACACAAGCGACACTAATGTGTCTGCTGCACATCCCCACTAATCCTCAGATTCCCTCCCCTCCTTGGGCCCCTGGAGCAGGGGCTTCTGGGGAATAAGCTCTTCCAAGAATTGGGCTCCTTCAGCCTAGAGAGGGCTACAGGCAGGGGGCTGGGAAGGCCTTGTCTGTGTCTGGAACCTTCTCTCTCCCTCTTAGCCTCTCTCTCTCTCTGCCTCCTGCTTCTCTCCTGTCCTCCCACTTCTCTGCTTTCTTCCTCTGCTTATCTGTTTTCTCTGCTCTCTCCTCCAGGGCCTTTCCAAGCTCCTCTCCATGTGCGACCCCTTCTCAGCCCCGAAGGGAGAGGAGGGGCAGGGGACGAGGGCCAGGTGGACCCCTGGGTGGGTTAAACCCTGGGCTGTAACTTGAGGCCCCCAGCACCCCAGCAAGCCCCCTCCCCAGCTGGGCCGAGCCAGCCGATGTGGCTTTCACAACAGGAGGAGGCCTGGCTCTGCTGCCTTGGGGGAACGAGGCTGCTGCCCAGGAAGCCCAAACCGCAGGAGACCCAGCCAAAACCCCACAGACCTGGATCCAAGACCAGAATCCCCCACGCTCCCTGCTGAGCCCTGACAGCGAGGCCGGGAGCTGCCCCTGGGGCCCTGCTGGCAGGACAGCCAGGGAGCAAGTCAGCCCCTCCCTCAGCTGAGTAAGATGAAAATGGGGTGAAGAGGACTCAGAGCAGCTCTGGTCGGGGCAGGTGGCCAAGCCCCCACACCCTTGGCACCCCCATGGCCTCTCCCCACCCACCCCTGAGAGCCCCAGAGCCTGGCTCCCTAACCCACAGCAGATTTCTGCCCAGCACTGGGGCGTCACATTCCTGCTCTTGGTTCTAAATTGAATTTCCTGGGGAATTGGAGCCTTCAGACCTAAAATAAAATCAACCCAACCCAGCCTAACTGGCCAGCTCAGGCCCTCTCCAGTCCTCAGCCTGGTGGCCTGGGACTGTGATCGGTGTGTCATAACTATGTACCAAGAGAGTTCACATTCTCGCCTTCTTGGGGTTCAGAGCCAGGTACCACCCCCAGTCCTCACCATCTCATTTTCTCTCTTTCCCTGACCTGGGCCATTTCAAGCTCCAGAGGTCAGTCTTCACCCACAGACGTTTGCTGGGTACCCACTGCGGTGCCGAGATGAACACTGACGCCACCCCAAGCGAGGGAGCTAGGGAGGCTGCAGTGCGCTTGGGCCAGGACTTCGCTACCAAGTTATAATGAACAACGGGGTGCCGAGTGCCAAGTTCTCAGTACGGGAGCCGCTCAGAGCAGGGACAGTGGCTCGGGGTCAGGGAAGGCTCTCTAGAGGAAAAGGTGCAGCTTGAGCTGGGTTGCGAAGGGTGGGCTGGATCGAGAGTGGCAGAAGGAAACGGTCTAAGCATGGGTGGGTGGTCAGAAGGCCTGGGACCACGGCGGGGTCAGTCTGCCTGGAACGTGGGATCCTTGTCCGTTGATTAGGCTGAAGATCTAGACTGAGGCCTTGCATACCAGGCCACGGAGAGACTGGAGCATGGACTTCCAGTCAGCGCTCTGAGCAGAGCAGATCCTGGCCCTCTCTCTAGAGGTGGTCCGAGCTCCACGGAGAAGCCCGGATCCACTGTCCTCAGTCAGTGGACAAGGCTGGTGTGAGGGCTCAGGCATTGGAGCTCCAGAGCAAGGGCCCTGTTCTCACTTTCCAGCCTTACAGTGAAGCCAGCCCACCTGGAAGAGGTCCCCCCATTTCTTCTTGGTCCAGGAGTACCCCTCAACTTGTGGACAACAGGCAGAGGGAGCCCACAGGGTCCCTTGTGGAAACTGTGGGTCTCTCGCCCTACCCTCTAGGGCAGATGGATTTAAACATGATTTTTTCACTCTCTTCTGGGCTGTCTGTCCGGAGCTCAGGGCACTGACCTGCACCGTAACCTGTGTTAGGAATGAAAGTGTGTGGCGGCAGGGAGCTGTTGCCTCTCTGTATTTCCCCTTATGGATGGGGACCCTTGAGAGATGCCACCAGCAAGCACGGCCCTCTGTGCACATTAGAAAAAGGCGGCCCTCTGGTCAGATGCAGCAGGTATGCAGCTGGCTGACCCAGTGACACCTCCAAGAGGTCGGGCCGCAACCAGGGTCTTCAGCCCCACCCCTGACTCCCTTGGCAGGAGTCTTTATGCAGAACGTGAAATGCACATCCACGTGGCGGCCTTATGGTCACCAGAAGGAAAACCATCTCTTCGTGGTTGAGCGCTTGTGCTCTGTCAGTTTGGCTTTTGTGCTCCATGTGCCCTGGCGAGAACTGTTTCTTGGTCCAGCATCTTGGCACCAGGCCCTCTGGGCAGCATGTCCTTCGCAGATCAGGTCTTCCCGCCACTTCTATGCGTGCAGGTCTCTGGGCACTCGGCACAACTTCCTCCCCTGCCCTCGGGGTTGTCCCGCAGGCAGTGGGGTCCCCTCTGCTGCCCCCCTCAGGAGAGCTGTCCCCCTGTGTTTCCAGGTCAAGATGCTGAGCTGGATTCTCTTTCCTGGTTTCCTTCTGAGAGGGCTGGTGCTCACCCTAGAATGGCGGGTCATATTCTGTCTCTATAATCTCCTGTTCCCACCAGGGTCGAGATCGCCAGCCCTCTTGGTGACTGTTAGACTGCCCAGAGAGCGGTGACACAGAGCGCACAGCAGAGATGAGGACCAGTCCCCTCACCCTTCTCTCTCACCGTTCTCCCTTTCGACCCTGGCAGCCCAGAGTGCTGCAGTCTGGCCCCTCCGACTGCAGGCCTGACAGGGTCACCCCTGTGCACCCCGTGACCTCAGGAGAAAGCCTGGGAAGCGACCCCCAGGCCCACCGGCCCCACACGCTGTCATTTCCCTTGTTCTTGCTACAACTTTTCATCCTGGGGCCTTGGTTCCTGCTGCCCCTCTTGAAATGGCCATTTCTGCTTCTTTGCTGACTTATTATTCAAGATCCAACGTGGGTATTGCCTTCTCCGGGAAGCTCCTAGCACACGGGGGCACGTGCGCATGCGCACACCTGGGCTAAGTGCCCATTTTCTGTGCCGCCACAGTTCTTGGGGATCTCCCTGCTGTCGCTCCTGACCCCACCCTGAGGGAGAGCTCGAGGCAGCCACCTGTCTTTCCCATTTGGTCTGCCCAGGGCTTGACACAATATAGGTGCACTGTAGCTGCTTAATAAATGTTAAACCAACCAGCGCAGGAAGGGAGGAGGGAGGGAGGGAGGAAGGGAGGGTGGGTCAGTGGGTGGGTGGGGGTGCTTCTGAGTGGCCCCTGCAGTCCAGGACACCTCTGAGCATTTTGTGACTCTCTGAAACCCCGAGAGAGAGGCATTAGGAAGCCCCCTTTGCACACGAGGTAACCCAAGTCCTAGTGACTTGCCCAAGCTGATGACTGGTGAAAACCAGGGCTTGGATCTTAGCTTCTCTCTCAGACCTTTTCATTTTACCACATGGGAGAGTCAGCACTCAGTTCCGGGCCAGAGGCTGGAGCTGGGCAGGCCCCCTTCTTTCCAGGGAATGAGGACCCAAGGCCTGAGCCCCACCTTCAGACAACCTAGGGTCTGAGCCGCTGCAGATGGGCTGGGGCTAGGAGGGGCGCCATCTAGCAGGTGCCATCTCCACTCACCTTCCCGTGCCGCCCCAGCCCAGCTTTGTGATCTTCCAGAAGCCATTTGTCTTCTCTCTCCTGAACCCAGGTGGTGATGGGGTTCTCAACAGGCCCAGAGAGTGGAGAGGGCTGCAGGGACCCACCCTGTCTCCAACACATCGCTCTGGTGTCCGCCAAAGTCACAGGAGCCCCAGCCTGCTGGCCCTGGCTGCTGGCTCCCAGCTCCAGGCAGAGCCCGGTTTTCCCTGGACAGGAGTGAGCATGTCTGCTCGGCCTGGTGCTCTCTCCTGTGCTGTCCACTTGGGGCCTTCAGGGTCTCTGTCCCCTCATGGGAGACCAAGGTCTTTGAAACAAGGATTGCTAAGGGGTCTCTGAGGGTCAGAGCCACAGGGATGCTCAGGGCCCAGGAAGGCAGCTGAGCCCCTCAAGATGCCCCAGTGGCCCAAACCTGCAGGCCCAACATCAATGATCTCCCTCCTCTCTTCTCCCACCCTCATTTGGAGACAGCTCAGAGGTGTGCCCCACATGTGAGCCCCTCTTTTCTTCATCGATGATGTGTTTCTGTTTCCAAGACTGGACATTGTCTGTCTGTCTGTCCCTCTGGGGGCCTGTCTCCGCCTCTGGTGGTGTGTTCCCTGACTGTGGATATTTTATTCTCTGGGTTCACCGCCCTTTCCCTTCACCTTCCTGTCTCCCAGAGCCCTTCTCTTCTCCCTGTGCCCTTTGGGTGTCTGTGTCCCTCTGAGTCTCTGGTTTCTATGTCTCCCTGCTCCCAGTATGGCATGTGGGGGCACCCTCTCGAGGCCCCTGTCATTTCGACTGTGCCTGGGTCTGATGAGAGGCTCAGGCTGCGCCCTGCACCCTGTAATTGCCTCGTCTGGCCCTTGGCCCCTGACCCCTACCTTCACCCTCTGGCTCCCTGGCTCCCTCAGGCCTTCCCACACCCATCGACTGAGGGTGTGGGAACTGGGGCCCCTCTCTGCCGCCCTCCTCCACCACCCATCCCCCTAGCCTTTGTGCCCTGGGGCCACAGCCCAGGCCTGCCTCCCGGGAGCTGTGGGTTTGAAGGTGGCTCCCTTCCTTCCTTCCGCCCACTGCGCACAGAGGGCCGAGCTGGTCACTGTAATTACGTGCGGCTGCGGTCCGCCTCTTCCCAGCCCTCTCATCCTCTCCCTGTCTCTCCTGCTGCCCGGAGCCCCCCGCCCCAGGCCTCAGCCCTCTCTCCCCAGGTTTTCTCTGGCTCTTTCTCTTGCTATCATCCTCTCTCTGGCCCAGTTTCTCACTGTCTGTATCGTGCTCCTTCTCCTCCACCTCTGACCCTGCCTTATCTCTCCCCATCGCTGACTCTCTCCCATCCAAGTACTAACCAGGCCCGACCCTGCTTAGCTTCGCTGACTCTCTCTATTGCTGAGTCTCCCTCCCATCCCAGGCTGTCTGTCACTGGATTTCTGGGGCTCTCCCCTTCCGTGCCCAGTCCCCCCGCCTTCTGACGCTCTATCTCTCTTTGCTTCTACCTCTCCCTGTCCCTCGATTCTTTCTCCTTGTCACTCCTGGTGCCTGTCCCTATCTCCCCATCGCTGACCAGCTGTCTGTTCTCTCCTGTGCTGTGTTCCTCCTTCCTGTCCTGACACCACACACGTGGACGCACACACATGCACAGGGCACACGCGCACACGCCCTTGCTCACGCACGCGCTGTGGTTTGGGAGTCTATTTTGGAGTCTGGCGCTGTTGCCAGGTAGGGCAAGGGCTGGGTAACCGTACAAAGAGACATGAATGAGGGCTCACGGCAATCTGGGTGCAGGAAGGGGACCAGGACTGGGCAAGCAGGAGGCACCAGGGAGACCGCTCGCTTGTCTGCTCTTTCCCCAGCCCAGACCCCAGCCCTCCTGCCTGGGCTGGAGACGGGAACAGGACCCACTCACCCCGTGGAGGCAGTGCTAGAAGAGGGCTCCCTGGAGGAGGAGGCGCCCCCCATGCCCCAAGGCAATGGCCCTGGGGCCCCCCAGGCCCTGGACAGCACTGACCTCGATGTCCCCACAGAAGCTGTGACACGTGAGTTCTAGGGGGCCGGGGGATTGGGGTGGCAACATGTAGGGGTTGTCCTGGGGAACCCCCAGATGGGCTGGCGGAAAGGCAGTGGGTGCCCGTGGGAACCCAGTGCAGGGCCAGGACCTCGAGGTGTGGGCAGTGGAGTGGTGTATGACACTCCACTGTCCTTTCTGTCTAGGAAGACGGTCTCCACGTACAAAATTAGTTCAGAACGCGCGTGCATAGGCTCCGGACACTGTGGTTCCGGACGAGAGAGCATGGGGCTGTCTGGACACAGGTGCCCTCCCCCCAGGAAGAGAACAGGGGACAGGCAGCTAGAGCCCATCACCGCGCCATCCTTCAGGGTGTCCAGGACCGAAGGATACCCTGATCTGGGCAGAAAGGAGCAAAATTCAGCTCCGTGCCCAGGTTTGGCTTAAGGTCTCCAAGGAGGTCCTGGGAGGGAGACAATTCTCCACCTTCATGCCCAAAGGCAGAGGAAAGGGCAGCCAGAATTGTTTTGTAATTACTAGTAAGGTCCCCAAATCTGTAGACGCAGTTGTACTTTCCAACTTTCCCTGAATGATCCCACGTGCTCTCAGCTCAGCCTGCTGTGAGGCAGCTTAGCTACTGCCAAGCCCATTTTACAGGTGAGGAAACTGAGGCACAGAGAACCACTCAAGCTGGGGGGCTCAGGTCTCCTGACCCAGTGCTCTTTCCTGTGCCCTCCTGCCCGGCTGGCACACTGAGTGGGAGCTGCCTTCAGGCAGGGCATCTGGGGCAAAGTTGGGCTCCCAGGAAGCCAGGGTTACTAAATCCTGCCAGCACACTGCCCGCAGCCTCCTCCAGACATGCCCACCAGCAGCACTGAGAGAAAGAGGTCAGCACAGTGGCCACAGAGGAGGGGACCTGGGTGGGAGTTGGACAGTCACTCCAGTGTCTATGGGCCCTGAGTGTTTGCTCTGACTCAGTCCCCATGGTCACTCCACAGCTATGGCCACAGGCAAGCTCTGTGTCTGCCCACACCCTCCAGGGCCCTCAATTCACCACACATGCCCGCCCGCTGGTCACTGTGCCATGTTTAGGCAGCAGGGCAGGGGGCAACCGAGGCTGGCCAAGGATTCAGCTCAGTCACCCCCATGGGGCCAAGAGGCGGGGGCATGATGATTCAGGCCTGGCCACTTCCCATGGCCTTACCCCTGTTTACCCAGATGCAGGCACCAGCCCCACCTCAGGGCGGAAGTCTTCCAGCATGGAGCTTCTCCAGGGCCCTGTCTCCCATCCTCCCCCCCACTCCCCACCTTGTCCTTTGCTCCTTTTACCCCATCTCCATCCCCTCCCCCGCCCTTTCCTAGCTGTGGAATCTTGGCAAGTTTTATCCTCTCTGGGCCTCAGTTTTATCATCTGTGAAATGGGGCTAATAATAGATTGATTGTAATACTTAAGGACGTTGGTACACATGAAGCTCTTAGCACTGTGTCTGGCACCAGTAATACCTCAAAACATGCCAACTACCAGTTACACGCGTAGTGATTATTGTGATAGCAGCAACTTGTTCTCCAGTCCCTTGTCTCCCAACTTCTGCCCCCTCCTTGCCTCTCCGGCCTCCAAGCCTCAGCATTTAGCCTATAGGCTGGTCCACCTCCGACACTAGCTGCAGACCTTGGACAGGTCATTGTACCTTTCTAGGACTCAGTTTCCCTGTCTGTAAAGGAGGAGACAGCCCCACAGAGCTACTGAGAGGGTCCAGTGACAGAATAGTTGGCAGGTCAAGGGCTTACCCTAGTGGCCAGCAAGCAGGAGGTGCTCGGTGTGTGACCCAGCACTGCCCGAAGGCCCAGCCCTCAGGCATGGCACTGAGGCGGCTTTCCTCTCCGAAGTCCCCAGGCACCCCTCCCCCATCTCCTCCTGCCACAGTCTGAATAGAGGCCAGGCCTGGAGGGAGCTGGGGAACCAGACCCCAGCACCTGAGAGATGGAAGCTCCCCATGTTTACAGAGAGCCTCAGGGCCCAAGGGTCCTGCCCAGGAGCGCCCCATCCGGCCCCGAGCAGCCAGGGGGTCCCAGGTGCTCATGGCCCTTCTCAGGCCCCTCCCCCAGCACACACCCACCTGCCCTCTGTCTTGTGAACAGAACTGTGCCTCTCAGGTGAGCAAACCTGAGTGAGATGAGGAAAAGAACGGGGTGTTTGGGGGGGTCTCCGGGGCCAGCTTCCCTGCACCTCACTGATAATGCTGAAGTCTAGTCCCTCAGCCTGGGATGGGGACTGGGGGGTGTCTTGGCCTCAGGGGTCTCTCCGCTGGCCTTCCCTCTTCCCTTCCTCCCTCCTCACGCAGGCGCCTGGGCCCTCAGCAAACTCCTCCTGCCAGAGCCTCCCAGAGGCTGCCGGGCAGGGGCGTGGAGGAGCAGACAGAGGGGCTGCTGTGAGGAGCCCCCGGATTCCAGACCAGGCATTCATCTCCAAACAGATGTTTCTAATAACTCACCCAGCACACAAAGGGCAAAAACAGCTGGGGGCTTGGCAGAGGCTGAAGTGAAGGTTAACTGCTTCACTGCTGTCCAAACTGTCCCTGTCCCTCCCCTCCCCCAACCCCACACTGTGGCCCAAATCCCAGGACCCAGGAGCAGGAGAATGGATTTCATGTGGGGTAAGAAGGTGGGGTTCAGGGCTCTGAGCCCCTCTTGCACCTCTGTCTTTTGCGGCATGAGCACTGGCCCGGGAGTCAGGAGCCAGGCTCAGCCCCGCTGCTATTTCATGGTGTGCCTCTGAGCAAGTCACTTCTGCTCTCTGGGCCTCAGTGTCCTCATCTGCAGGACACACACCAGCTCGGTGGACGGTGGTGTAGGTGGGAACAAAGCAGTCAGGAGGAGAGCAGAGCTCTGAGAGGCGGGGCAACCCCAACCCGGCCCCATCGCCCTTTCTCGCCATCTTTCCAGGCCAGCCTCAGGGGAACCCTTTGGGCTGCACCCCACTACTGGCAAATGGCTCTGGCCACCCCTCGGAGCTGGGCAGTGCCAGGCGGGCTGGAAACGGTGCGCTGGGTGGCCCCAAGGCCCACCGGAAGTTGCAGGCTCACCCATCCCTCGCCAGCCAGGGCAGCAAGAAGAGCAAGGGCAGCACCAAGTCCGCTGCCTCCCAGATCCCGCTCCAGGCACAGGAAGGTGAGTACCCCACGTCTCCCCACAAGGGCCCAAAGCCAGGTCCGCACGGTATGGCCCAGGGACCAGCAGCAGCGCCTCCGCTGGGCTTCGGGTTACAAATGCAGTCTTGGCCGCCTGCCGGGCCCACCAGGTCTGGGCCTTTGGGTGCGGCAGAAGCCTGGGCCCAACAAGTCCTACGGGGAGTCTGATGCAAGACCCAAATCTGAGAACTTGCAAAGGTTGTTGGATAAACTGAGGCATGCCTGACTTCTCAAGGCCAACCCCTTCCCACCCCTGCTCTCCCAGTTTCTGTGACAGGGAATGGAGCCATCTGGCCTAATCCAGTTTAAGCCATCCCGGTTCTGGAAATAGAAATTTTCCTCAAGGAGTGGACCATCTGTTTCGTGAGAGCAGACAGAACACCTAGCAGAATAAAACACTTCACCATCAGATGCTTAATTGGGGGTGGGGCAGGGGCTGCAAGGTACAGTGAGAGGTCAGGGGACTCAGATACATCAGCCATTGTTCCCGCGACAGAAAGGTCCTCTGCAGGGCCACGCTGGGCAGCCAGCTCTCCCCACCCGGCATCAGTTCAGCATGGGTCCCAGCTGCCTGGAGCTTAGTGGTGCTTCACCTTTACCCCAGAGTTTTTAAGTGCTTCCTGTCCATGTTGGGGGACTGTGGCCTTGTCCTCTGCAGATTCAGTGCATATAACATTTGCATCGAATGTATTCATAAGCCTTCCCACCCGGCAGAGCAGATTCTGCCCAGTTAATTTATGAAAGAGGCATTCATTCATGTAAAGTGTAGTGGGCACTGCTATGAGCCAAGCACTGTGCTGTGTGTTGGGGACCCAGTCCATGGCCTCATGAAGCTCTCATGAGAGAGACACAGCAGGGAATCACCGTATGGTGTGATAACAGTGATGAAGCCACGCGCAGGGGATTATGAAAACACAGGGGACACTCACTCCAGCCCCAGAAAGCCAAGGAGGGGAGCCTAGGGAGGTTCTGGAGGAATCTGAGCCAGGCTTAAAGATTGAGTAGGAGGATCCAGCCAGGGGCCTTAGCATAGAGGTAAGAAATGGCTAGTGTGGCTAGATTAAGAAGTTCAAGGTGAGGAATGGTAGGAAGTGAGACTCCAGGCCAGCAGGGACTCATGGGGTGGGGGGATGCCTTGTAAACAATGCTTGGTAGACTTAGACCTTATCTGGAGAGCAATAGGGAGCCATTGAGGGTTTTAAACAAGGTAGTGACCTCATCAGATTTGCATTGGAAGAGAACTCTCTTATCCAGTTTGCAGACAGATTGCAGGGGTTCCAGCTGCACAAGACCCCACTCCCTCCACACAGGAAAGGGCTGGGGGAGTCACACCCCCCGTGGCAGTGTGAGACGCCCACAGCACCAGCAGCCTTGCAAGGGCCCACCTCCTCAGGGGAACTGGACATTCTGCCCGTGCGCCTGATCCCTGGCAGGTGCCAGCTCAGCACCCTGGCAGCACACTGAGCACTTTCGAGCGTGGACACCAGGCCAGCCTGCCTGGGTTTGGGTCCCACGAGCTTATGCATTAATGCACTTACCATTTATTAACTCAGCGCCTACAACGTGTTGGGCACTGTTCTAGGGACTTGTAACATATCAGTGACCAAAACACACAAAGATGCCTGCCCCTGTGGAGCTTACATTTCAGTGGAAGGAAAAGCTGTGTAGCAGGGTGGAAGGTGACCAGTCCTACTGGGGACAGGTGACAGAGGCTGGGGCAAGGGGGTGGAGGTGCTGGGGTGGGGCGGATAGGTTGCATTATTAAAGAGGGTGATATTTGAACAATGAAGGAGGGGAGGGAGTGAGCACCCGCGGTTATGTGGGCCCAGAGACCTCCAGGTTGGGGGTGGGGCACGGAAATAGTTCCTGCGTGAGAAGGAGGAGCTGATGTGGCCAGAGCAGTGATCAGGGGGACAGTGGTGGTGGAAACCAGATCACATGGAGCCATGGGGGCAACTCTGAGCTTTTTAGCTTTTACTACCGTGGGGTAGAAGCCACTGGAGGGTTCTGGGCACAGAAGGGACAGAATCTCACCAAAGTTTTTCAAGGGGCCCTGCTGTGAGGGGTGCAGATGGCTGGAAGGGGAGTCACAGGTGGGGAGTGGAGAGGCAGTGAGGGGGCAGTTGCCCTGGCAGAGGTTAGCAGTGTGGGAGGGTTCTGGCTATACTTTGAAGTGGCTTCTCCACCTCAGTTTCTTGACCTGTAGAGTGGGGCTAATAGTAGCCCCACCTCATGGAGTTGTTGCAAGTTTAAATGAGCTTAATTCATGCCCAGCACTTAGAACAGTGCCTGGAACATGTCATCACTCCTGTTCTTTAAATAAATGACTAAGGAGCTTAAGAACGGGGGTTCAGGATCCAGACGGCCTGGCTGAACCCTAACTCTGCAACTTACCAGGTAAGTGTGTGTCAGTCACTCTGTGCCTAAGCAGTGCTCCTCACAGTCTCCACTTCACGGAGCTACTGTTGCGTGAGCCGAATTGCTGCCCAGCACCGAGCACCGAGGGCTGGCGCCGAGGCGGGTCCCCTGCCCCGGGCCATCTCACCCGCTCTCTCCGCCCGCCCGCCGCAGACTGCTGCGTCCACTGCATCCTGTCCTGCCTGTTCTGCGAGTTCCTGACGCTGTGCAACATTGTCCTGGACTGCGCCACGTGCGGCTCCTGCAGCTCCGAGGACTCGTGCCTCTGCTGCTGCTGCTGCTGCGGCTCGGGCGAGTGCGCCGACTGCGACCTGCCCTGCGACCTGGACTGCGGCATCCTGGACGCCTGCTGCGAGTCGGCCGACTGCCTGGAGATCTGCATGGAGTGCTGCGGGCTCTGCTTCTCCTCCTGACCGCACCAAGCTGGAGCCCCTCCCCGTCCTGCTCCCTCGCCGGGACCTCTCCGACCCCAGCCCAGGAGCAGGGGCGCTCCTGAGGCACCGCAGTCCGGGAGCCGGGCCCACGGCTGAGCCCGTCCTTCTCCGGGACCTGGTGGGAGGGTTGGGTGGGAGCCGCCGGGGACAGCTGCCGGGCCGCGGAACACTGTGAAAGTCGCGGGAGGGGCGGGGCGCGGGAGGCGGGGCGGGGCGCGTCTCTACCTCTCTGCTCCCGGGGCGCCTCCCGCTGCCCCCGGGCTTAGAGCTCAGCAAAATGTGAAGAGACCCCACCCTGCCCGCCGCCGAGCCCCTCCCTGGTCTCTCCTGGGCTTGCGAGGGTGGGGTGGCTGACCCATACAGTGACCCCAGCGCACAGGGCTGGGCTTGGGCCTGGGCAGGGCGGGAGGGGGGGACGGTATAGAAAAGACTGGAAGGGGAGAGGGAGGGAGTGGGGGGGTCTGTTCTATTTGTTGCTGTAAATAAAGGTATTTGTTCATCTCAGATTTCCTGAGTGACATACATGGACCAGGACTCTGAAAAGCCAACGCTCCCCAATAACCCCCTACAAAACCCCCTACAAATGGATAAGGCTCCCCTGTCCTCTGCGGCCCGTTTTTCCTTTTTCCCTCCCTCATTCATGCTTCTCAGTAAGGGAAGGAAGGAAGGGGGGTACCATCTCCCCACCATTATTTCCCCACTTGGCCCAAGGGAAGGGAAGTCCAGAAAGGGAAGAGTTAACCCTTGGCATAGAATTAATTAACAACAGATGAGTTCAGGTTTTGATTAATTAATCTGCTGTTGACGCCAGCCATCCCCAGTGAGGCTCCAAGGTGAAGGGTGGCAGCCATGTCAGTGGGCGAGCCATGCCGGGGGAGGGGACACCCTGGGCCCAGGATGGCCTGGACTTGCCCCTGGGCTGTGCTGGGAGGCAGGTATGGCTTGGGTGGGGTCACATGATCCAGTTCAGTCGTCCCCAATCGCCAGGGGGATTGAGGAAGAAGAAACTGTCTGGGCTGGCAGGAGCCTCCAAGGCCATGTGTCCGGGGCCCTGAGCGCTGCCGGGCCCCCTGGGGAAAGTGGACTCCGACAGTGGGAGGGCTGGCCGAGCCTCCTCCACCCCATCCTGGACCTGGAGGAAGCCAGAGGGGCCCAGGGTGAGTGAGAGGATGTCTCGTGGTTGGACTTGGATTGTCTTGAGGAGAACACGTGGCTGAGAGGGCCAGGCCTTGAAAAGTGGAGATCTCATGGGGAACTGGTGGGCATTGCTTCTGGAAACAAAGTCTGCAGTGGTCTGGAGGGATTCTGGGAGGAAGGAGAGAGCTCAGGGAAAGGGCCAAATGAAATCTTCACTTAAGGAAAATCATAGGAGGGAGTAGCCCCTGGCCTCAGCTTCAGCTGCAGCTGCAGCAGGAGGAGATAATAGAGGCCTGAGAGGACTCCGCCCACCGCCACACCTCTCCCTCTGCCCTGGCTGCGCGCACCTGAGCACAGGCCTCACTTTGCCAACAGGTTCCCTGACCCCTGGGACCATGTAGGAAACTCAGGACACAGAGAGAAAGTGACCTGCTCAGAGTGACATAGTCAGGATCACAGCCAGGAGAGAAGCCCCATCTTCTCAGGCCCCCAATATCTGTTTATCTCAATTTTTTGCTTAGTTATTACATGTCCAAGATACAAAAAGTTCTAAAGTCTAATCAGTGCATAAATGAGCACATGCACATATTGCTTTCTTTCCTTTTTTTACAAAAATGTCAAGATCCTATACACATAGCCACACTCTGTTCTCATCACATAACCATTTGTGTTGGGATCTTTCTTATCAGGAGTTTCACTGAGGGATGAGCTACAATCCAGTTGCCTATCTCCAGCTTAGTCCCTTCCGTTTGTTATCCTGCTATAAACAAGGTTTCAAACATGTCCTTTTTGTTTTTAATCCTATTCCGAGAATATTTTTCCATTGATTTTCAGATAGAATAGGAGGCGGGAGGGGGAGAGAGAGAGAGAGAGAGAGAGCGAGCGCAACAATGATGTGAGAGATACATCAATTAGTTGCCTCCTGCACCACCCCAACCAGGGCTGGGGATCAAACTGCAACCGAGGGGTACATGCCCTTGACTGGAATCGAACCCGAGACTCTTTGGTCCACGGGCCAACACTCTAACCGCTGAGCCAAACTGGCCAGGGCTCAAACGTGCTTTTGCATGAGCGAACTCTATTTAGAAAATTCCTGAGTGCTGGGCCTCAGGGGTGCATGCCTTTGTGCCTTTGACAGGCTGCCCAGTCGCCTGGCAAGGGTGTGCCGGTCCGTTCCCAGGGCCTCAGGGAGCGTCCACTTCTCCCTGCTGCTGTGGCTCTTTGTCCTGAGGACAGACAGTGGTGGGAGGGCTCGGCCTCAGGTCTTCTTCCCCCAGGCTGGGGTCTGGGGGCCTTAGGGAGGCAGAGGATCAGGGGTGTGTGGGGGGAGGGGTGCTCCAGACCAACCAGAGGTCTGGTCCAGGTGGGCAGGAAGGCCCCCTCCCTGGCCCTCTCCCCTCTGTGGGAGCAGGAAGAGGCGCCTCTGCAATCCAAATAGTGATTTCCTGCTGCACGCTCCTGCCAGGCTGTTTTCTTTAGGACAGTGGCTGAAACCAGAGAGGCTGAGCTGGGTGGGGGCGGGACAGGGGCAGGATTCAGCCAGCCTCCCCCGACACACACACACACACACACACACACACACACACGTGCACAGGCTCTCCTTACAGTCGCACACTCACATACATTCCACAGTCACACCCACACTCAGCACACACACATAGGCCGGCGCACACTCACATCTCAGCGTCTGCCACACTGCCAGCCCTGAGCAGCCTGGGCTGTGCCACGGAGCCCTGCGCCCACTCCCCAGCCCCCTGGCCTCTCCTGCCTCCCCACATCCCACCTCACCCAGGTGGCCCTCTTAACTGCCGGGAAGCAGATGGCATTGGTCTTAGAGGCCACCCGCCCACCCAACCCTGCCCAGATACCCTCCCAGGGCAAGCCTGAGTTCTAGACGCTCCCCTCCACTCCACAGCCCTTCTCTGCTGACTCCCACTCTGCTTTCCAGCCAGCCTGTTCCAGCCCTGGCTCCGCTGTGGGCCCGGGGAAGTCCCCTTCCCTCTCTGAGCCACAGCAGTGAGACTGGGAATGCAGTGTGGCCACGGGACCGGGAAAATAGCCTGCCTCTCTGGTTTCCCCTCATCTACGGAGCAGCAGGCCCACCCCTTTGGCCCAAGAGATTTCTTGAGTGGCCACTCTCGTGTTTATCCCCAAACAAGCATTAATCACCACGCGTGTGGGAGAAGGAGGTGGGGAGGCCAAATGAAGTTGTTCCTGGCCTGGACTGCCCGTGAGCACTGGGTGAGCTCGTGCCAAAGCCGAGACATTGCCCCATGACTGAGCGAGGAGCTGAGTCAGGGGCTTGGGGGGTGGGGGGCAGCCCGCCCCTCTGCGTCCGGAGCCTCCCTCAGCTCTGCTTGTACTTTAACTGACGTCCTCTGCACTCCTACCCAGCCGGGCAAAGCAAGTCAGGCCCCGCACCCCGGGGCTGCCTGGGACCCCTCAGGACTGGCCCTGTGTGCGGAAGGGTGGGAAGAAGCAGGGGCAGGAAGCTCAGGCCACACATGGGGCAACAGGGGGGACAGAAGTTACAGATGTGCCCCGTCCCCTCCGTGTGCATGCTCCTTTCCACATTTTGACTTTCCTAGGACTAAGGAGACACAGGATGGGACCTACGGTCACAGTCCCCTGTTGCCCCAGCCATTCCCTCACCTCCCACCTCCTGCAGAGCAAAACCCCCTCCAGCCTTCCTCGACTCTCACTTGGTTCCACTACCTTTACCTGACCCTGTCACAGCCTCTATACCCCACGATTCCTGCCATCTCGGGGGTGCCCCTCTCGAGGTCACAGCCTCATTCCTTTACGCTGCAGACAGGTGAGAGGTTGGGGGAAGGGCATGTTCACACGCTGTGTCTGCCTGGCATTTCTCAGTGTTGCCACCTCAGGGCGTCCAGGAAGGAGCAAAGTCTCCCTGGGCCAGTTACCATGTCAGGGGACCAAGAGCTATGCTGGGCCAGGTCTCTGTGGCCAGGGGGATGGGTTACTTGACTGGCCCTCCAGAACCATGTGGAATCAGGGGAGGAAAGCTCCCCAAAGAAGTAGGGGTGCTGCAACAAAAAATGGGAGAATGGCTGGCAGACTAAAACAGCAGAAGTCACTCTGGGACCAGACGACCATCGGTGGTCCAGAGCAGGTTGGGAGGCCTGCCTAGAACCTCAAGGCGAATGCAACTCAGGGCATTTAGCTGGAGAAGAGAAGTCAGGACAACTAACGACTAACTGCAGGCTGGGAGGACAGTGAGGCTTATTCTCCGACTCCAGCAGAGGCAAGACCAGGAGACAGACGCAACAAGGAGAGGGTTCCTGCCCTGGCCGGTTTGGCTCAGCAGTTAGAGCATTGACCTGCGGTCCAGAGAGACCTGGGTTCGGTTCCCGCTAAGGGCACGTACCTCGGTTGCAGTTTGTCCCTGGCCCTGGTTGGGTCGTGCGGGTGGCAACCACTCCATGTGTCCCTTTCACATCAATGTCTCTCTCTCTCTCTCTCCCTCCCACTCTATCTGAACAAAAAATGGAAAAATGTCCTTGGGTGAGGATAAAAAAAAAAAGGAGAGGGTTCCTGGCTCCAGGCAAGCCGTGCCCACATGCCCACGTGCCCACGTGCCCACGTGGAAGGCACTGCAGCACTGGGGGGCGGGGCAGGTGCTCCCTGTTCAAGGACTGTTCTGGGGCAGGTGGGGTCCCTACCCTGGTGTTGACTGGTGGCAGTGAGGACAAATGGTGAAGGGTTGTGGCAGGTGGCCTTCACAATTACCGAGAACTCAAACCTTCCGTGGCCCAAAGATGCTGACAGCGACTGTCTGATAAGCGAGGACTAGAGATTGAAGGCGGACGGGAGATGGAGTGAGGCAGAGAAATGGAGGGAAGACACGATGCGCAGACAGGACAGTGCAGACAGAGCGTCCACGGGCCCTGGAGACAGAAGAGCAAAGCAGGCAGGCTGCGGGCACATGTCCCTCAGCTCCTCCCAAG